TGGTTCCCACGCCCATGACCACAAGGCGTGCACGAACTACTGGCGGCGAGTGATGGAGGCCAAGATTGAGCAGACGTTCACCAACATTTTCGTGATGTTCAAGGCTTTGGTAGCCTTCTGGGACGGTGAAGCGAAGGAGAGGCTCGAGAGAGGAGACCTAGACCTTGAGTCGTCGATGGAGTTGGAGGGAGTGGTGAAGGAGCTCCGCAGGTTGGCCAATCTTGAGAGGTCGGACTGGGACGAACAGATGTCGACGGAGCTCATGGGGAGGTGCGGTGTTGGTAGCCTCAACAAGGGGGGGAGACAGGTCAAAGATACGGAACCCCCGAAGGACGTTTGGGGGAGCGTTCACATTAAGACAAAACGCAAGTGCATGTACCCCGGATGCAAGAAAACGACAAGAAAAGGGTGTGCCTGCGAGGCGTTCTGCGGTGCAGGGCGGGAGGGGGGCGGGGGGGTTTTGATGTGCAAGGGATGCTTCGAGAACCCGGCGAGGCACCGCTAGGGCCGCACGGGCTGAACGGGAGGCCTCGAAGTTCGGAAAAAGGACACGGAAGGATATGAACTGGTGCTCGTGACCGTTTTTTGTTGTTGTTGCGAGTGTTTCGGGCGGAGGAAACAGGGATCGACTCGTGTAAGGGTCCCTTGACATATTTTTTGGCAGGCAGACTGATCGTAGCGCATCATCTTCCCGTCCGTCATGAAAATGTTTTACTCCGTCGTTTACCTGTTGTGTCTTCCCGATAGCAGTGGTATTATAGTGTGGGGCGTTTGTGTTGTGTACTTGCTTTCTGCGCCCCGTCGGGAGATCCAATCAACTTTCCCTCATCATCCCGTATCTACCCTTCGCCCCCATCCGGAAAGACGAGTGCTCCAGCGCCTGTAGCCAGAGACCAGCGGCACCATGGATCAAACAAACCAACAGGTACCACTATTACGCCCTATCGACAGCAGTCGTCGCTTGCTCGCCGATCCCCATGCACAACACTCCGCGCCCGCCCTCACCATGAGTGGTTGATATCGCGAAATCGAGAGTGTACCCGACGTGACCAAGAGAGAGATCGACCCTGATCTCATTCGACAAATACCAACGTTCTCACCTTCGGGCCTTGCATACAGTGGGGCAAGCACGCGTAGCTGCTCCACCTGAGCCCCAGCCAAGGTTGCCAAGCCCAGCACCAGCACCAGCGCCAGCACCAGGGCCACACCGGATCCTCTTGCCCCAATCCCTGCCATTTCTCTGCGACCGCTGCTACGTCGCCGCTTCTTGCCGCATCCAGCCCCACCACGAAGACATCGTGGTCGCCTAGTTCTTGATGACATCGGCATCGAACGCGTCGGCCGCATCGCAGCTGGCAGTACCATAGCTTAAGTCGTGCTTGGGCTAAGTGAGCCACAACGTACACAGCAGTAACACCAGATCGAAAACACACAACACGCAACCTCCTTCCCTAGAACAGACCGGAGCCTTCGACGAAAATTCTGACTTTGAAGACTTTGATAGGCTGTGCCTTGGCTCGTGGCCAGCACGGAAAAGCTCCCGTATGCTGCGCACTACCGAAGTGGCGGCAAGATGCCTTATCCCTACGGGCAAGCCAACGACGGCCCTCTTGCGTTTGTGGGGGGTATAGGCAATGCGTCGGGCGGAGATTAGTCAGGACATCTCGTCAGTCATCTCTCTCTCTCACAATCCGAATGCGGCGGGTCTTGTTGGTTTAGATTGCGGTTCGGATGACAACACAAAGGCGAGGCGAGGGAAGATACCCCGACGACTCTCGAGAGAGAGAAAGATCTGCTCGTCTAAAACGTACCGTACCACAACACCAGGGGAGGGAGCCTTTCAGCCCCACTGCCTCCCGGTCTGATGCATCTGGAGGTACGTCTGTTGGCAATTGATGATGCGTAGAATTGCGGCCCAAATTTGTCCTGTGCCCAATCTTGCAGCGTCCCAGCGGGTGTGCTCACGGTCTCCGAACTTTCCCACCACGCGTGGGAGATCTTTGTTTGCACCTACAGCCGTATCGCGCTGAAGGAAATGATATAGCATCGATGACTAGCATTTGGTACTGCCTGATGCACAGCAATATACCGAGCCTCCTGAGGTTCTGTTGCCCAACTGCTGCCGCACCAGAGAAGCGCGGGGTAATCTTTACTCCTTCGGTACAACTCGTCCCTTGTGTTCAGGTGTACAGGGAACCGTTGTGTCGGCGGTACTACGCTACACCATGTTCCCTTGCAGGCATTTTCAGCGCCGGGATCTTCATCAGCATGATAATCACCCCCTTCTTCATGGCCTATGATCCTTACAGTGAGTGATTCCATAAAATAACCCGGACGATTCCTCTGCTTTTCCACTCCCTAATCTTTGTTTGCTCGGATTCCGATCCCTGTTCGTTTGCCCCCCCCCTAAATCCGCCTTTCTTTCCAGTCTTCTCTTTCTCCTCCAGTCGATGTACCTAGCGAACCCCACACAGTTGCAAAAACGCGCCTGGACCTTGAGGCCCCCTCTTATTGAGGGGCAAAGAAGTGGTATTAGGGAATGGCGAAGGTCGCTGCTTGCTTAGTTGTCATCCTACGTTGCTGTCATGTTGTAAGTCCTCCTTCGGCCGCGTTCCACGCTTATAAGTAGAGAGTGAGGACCGGGGTTGGAATCCTGGTCACGACTACCAACGACACATCATATCTATGCATATAAAACGCTCATATGGCCAGGTTGCTCCAATACACCTTCACATCCCTTCGGTTGGAACATGCGTTTTCCTTTTATCCTATACCGTGTCAACTCGCATCGAATTTACTCTTTGTTAATATGAACCTTGCATTTCGATATAGGCCCACAACAACAGATATCATGGACGTGCAAGACGACCAAATCGTCAAGTTGATTGGCGAAATTCGGCAAGTATTGTAGGGAGGTGCTGCGAGAAAAAACTCTGAACACCTACTGCCCGCTCATACACCAACTGAAGTCTAAGCACTGGCCAGAAGTTGTGTAACGTGGCCAGTCCTTGGCGAGATGAGACACGATTGCTCAGGTCCACTCAATCATTCTCAGCTGTTTTCTGCCCGCTTTTGCTTCGCGGAGGGCGAAAGTTAGGACAATTTCTGTGCTACGAGATTGTTCCAAACCCGACGTAAAGAGGGGTACATATTGTGCCCCTCACCCATTCATGCGAAGCTCTCCCGTGACTGCGTTGAGTCCCGCTTCCAAGCTTCCACCCTGTGGCGGTCGAGGCGCTCACTACCGCTTTGCTCCCTACGTGCACCCCGAATTGTCTGTCACCCCGTACAATGCGTACTGTTAACTGTCGCGACCGTTCCGATTGGAGGCTTCTGGGTTAAGACCGACACGTACCTTGAGCAGCCTGAGGTGACGTACACCAAGGAGCTGTTATTCCTGGCAGAAGGTTTCAAGGGAGGAGAGGCTTTCAGCGCCTCGTTTTCAACCCTGGCGGCGGTGAACGGGCTGAATCACCCAGGCCTTCGGGACGCGGTTGTAAAGGTGACTCAGAGGTTTGCAGTTCTCAAGGCACCACACTAGCGCTTCCTTTGATCCACTCGTTTAAGGCGGAGTGGGATGTTGTCGTTTCTGTACACGTAAAACCACCATGCGGAAGGGGGGTGTCTGCAGCGGCCGCCTGACTGCTACCCAGGCGCGGTTCGTTGTATGATATTTGCTGTAATCCACAGGAGAACTCGTCCACATCAACGATGAGGCGCAAGTCACAGCGGGTGTTGTAGTACCAAGCTAGAAAATGACCGGGCGTTTCACCTCACGAGTAGCTGCGCCACGAAAGGCGCTGTTGGTAGCTGCTGAGGTCGGGTGTACTCATAGGTAGCCGATGAGGGACCCATGGACGACAGCATCATGGCACCGACAATCAATCTGTCTAGGGATAAGCATGCAGACAGCCTTTACTAGGACCATTTACGTGGAACCCGTACATCAGTGCTACGAATAAAACAGACGTGAAAATGGCATCCTGAGAAATTAAAAATCGCCTCTTGAACGTCGAACACCGCTCTGACCTCTCGGCGCTGATCGCCTTCTTGCATATCCAGACGTTTCCCACGGATACCAACGGCGACGGGTTGACTGATAGGTTTGTGATAAATGCACGTCTTCCGCTGGGTGAAGACGAACAGGTCCACTCTGTGAAGATGATGGCCTTCTTTCGGACCCGACTTCGGGTGAGAAACATTGGTTCCACCTACGTATGTCGTTTGTACCGTAGGGTGGAAGACTTGCGGCCTGTCTATGCCTATCCGTCTGGGAATCTACGACTGTTGGATCGCATGGAAAATTTCGAGATTAACGCGGAATCCAGGTCTAGACACGCTTGTGCGAGCGTAATCTCGGAAAGGGTCGAGACGGCTCCGTAACATGCTGAGTGTTTTTGGAGGGTGTACCCTTGACTCACCTAATGCAGATGTTCAATGGTTTCGCGCCAATCCAGCCACATCTTTTTCGAGGACTTTCTTCGGAAGCCTTGTCTATGTTGGTCAAAATTAGGACTCCCACAGGATACTGGTGAACACGTGCTGCCTTGGGGTCGTGATGACAGGATCGGGCCCGCGTGGAGATTGACACTGCGGCCTACGTCCAACACCAGGGGGCTCTTGCCGGGGCGTCGATGCAGGTGGATGGCGACATGGCCTTGAGACAGACGTGGCCGCTCAGCGTGTACGGCGGTAGGTAAAAGTCTGTACCGTTTGACATCCTGTTCCACAACCCGGTCCCTACAGGACTCGTGTTCCCTCTGATGACGCAGGCTCGTCGATCTAGCTACGTTCGCACTTGGAAGGGTTGGTTTGGTATAGGCACCTCCTGGCCGGTCGGTCTGTTTTAGGTTTGCCATCATGAGAAGGACGCGTTCTGCCGCAGATGAGAGAGAAAGCGCTAATCAACCCCCGACGTCAACCTTTCGCGGAGAGAAAACCGTCCTTGAACACTGGAGAAATCACGAGCAGCCAATTTTTCCCAAGCTCTACATGTAGCAGCCTCTTACGGGACATGTCAATACTGAGCTTCCTCGTCATCCGCTGAACACTATTTTTTCGAGAAGCGTTTCGACTTCGTCGTACCCCTGGCCGGGCACCCTCCTACAGGTTACACCTACCCATATCGGGATGATCCTATCCTGGATCCCAGCACGATCACTTCCGCCCACCAAATACTCTTCTCTTCCCTGCTGGCTCGGTACGCGGCAAGAAATAGTGAGTGTCTCGTACGAGGCATGAGAAACGTTTCCCGTTTGGCTCGGTGGTGTTCACCCTTGCAGACTGTCGTGTTAGCTCTATAAATGCGTCAGGTTGTCCGTTCGACTTTTCAACGGCCTGATCCCCGTATGGCCGATGTATACTAGTATCTAGTCAACCGTGATACCCAAGCTTCGCTCAATTGTTTTTGGGCCTCATACTGTGGCAACTGAACGTCGCTTTTTTCTACGGGCAGCAGGAATCCCCACTCGATCATCTAGCTGGTGCTGCCGAGGAGCAGACTCGAAGAATTGTGGCTGACACGCCTTACGTGCACCTTCTGTCCCCCTCCCCCCCGAACATCAGTGACACTCGACTTCCAACCGAGGTACTCCATCTGGGAGCGAGCTCCGTCGTACGCCACGCTAGGGGGGGGAGGGACCGGGGCGGCGGCATCTCGGATGTTCAATGTCACGGCGGTTGTTCGGATCAACCAACAGCCAGTGTTGTACACGCCCCCTGTGTCTGAGGTGTTGCAAGCTGGGTGGGGCAAAGTGAGTATGAAACAGTTTCATAGGTCGCACCGCGTTATAATTGTGTGTCTGGGGGGGGGGGGGGGGGGGTCCAAAATGATGTTTTTGGACATGAATACGTGGTTCTACACCAGGATTGGAAGCCCTACCTCGTGCTTCACATCGTTGCAACCACGGACCACAAGTATTGGCGAGAAATCGTGCAGCGCAAATGTCAATCTTGAAAACACTAGGAGGACACTTTCAAACTTCCTGTAGGCCCAGCGACTCGAAAGACCATGGTTGAAACGTGCCAGGGCTAACCTCACTAACTCCCTTGTAGTAGATCACGTGTAACTATGAAACATTGTTTGGGGAAACGTTTCAGTATCCACCATGTATTAACCTCCAAAAATCTGTCTTGTTTTTCTCCTGATGGTCACGTGAAGTACGTGGTGATGCTCGCTGTCATCCTGTTCCTGGTGGACGCGTTATCGGCCTTCGTTTTTAAGCACCAGGTGAGCGAGACCAGTGCCTACTGGGGTATTCTCGGCGTAGGTTATTCAGCCTGGCGAGAATTCCTGCTCGTTTCTGTTCGTGTTTACCCAGTTTTTTTGCCCTTGCACGTTGATGCAACACTAGCAGGTTCATCGCGCTGTTTTCGGTCGTTCTGGTTTTGCACAGAAGGGACACCACGTAAAACTATCATGCCAAGTACTTCTTTCACACTGTCAGGCTACCCCCCTCATGCCATCCGCCTACCTGCAGCGAGGCACACAAAGTAATTGCCTTGCAGCGTAGTAGCGACATTCTGACAATACTTCAAACGAAATCGGCGAGTTCTTTCCCAATGCAGCCCCTCGAGGTCTCGTTCAAGCCGATCAAGACCGGTCCGTCTTCCCTTGAATGTCTGCTCTCCGCGAATACTCGCTGCTCGTCCTGAACCCAAACCTCAGGTGGTGGAGACGAAGGTAGTCGCGCCGCACACAGGCACAGGGAGTTGTACCCGGTAGTAGCAGCGTAGTAGATATATTGAGTCATTCGGATTATTACGCATTTTTGATACGTTGGTGGATCGGCGTCAGCCGGTGGGTGGTACGTGTGTGGGAGGATAAGAGAAGGACATCCGACTAAATGGACGGCTTACTATAGGGCAGCCCGATATTTGATTCAACAGCGTAAGGTTCATCATTAGAGCAAGCCCGGGTGCAGAGAGGGAAGGCCTTCCACCGCTCTTTGCGGTGGAAAGTGGACTTAGGTAGACGGTGTGAAAGGACCTTGCAACGTTCATCCGAGGTGTTGCGGTATCCATTGCTAGAAGCAGAGATACCGCTGACGTCTCTGGGAGTAGCGTTGCATGTCTCATCTCAGATGACCCAGTTTCAAACACTTGTTCGCTTCTCAGCAATGTAACAGAGCATAAACTATCAAAGTATCCCATGCGTCGCGCCGCACCTATATCTATCTTGACGAATCACCCGCCCCACCCCAAAACCCGAAAAACAAAAAACTACTGCTGTAGGTGTGCTGCTGTACTCCGTACTTATTATCTCGAACGGGCAGTTTAGCAATGGACACCGCAACACCTCTGGGAGTAGCGTTGCATGTCCCATCTCAGATGACCCAGCGTTTCAAGCACCTGTTCGCTTCTCAGCAATGTAACAGAGCATAAACTATCAAAGTATCCCATGCGTCGCGCCGCACCTAGGTCTATCTTGACGAATCACCCGCCCCACCCCAAAACCCGGACAACAAAAAACTACTGCTGTAGGTATGTGCCGCTGTACTCCGTACTTATTATCTCGAACGGGCAGTTCTGTGTACTTTCTAAAAAACACACCTGCCGGAGCCCGCACCAATTCTAGGTCGAGTGTCAGCTATATCTTATTGCGTGCACTACTCTGTAACTGTACCGTAGTGCAGGGTCTACCGCGGCTGGCGTGCTACCCTTCGCAAATTTTCAGGGGGCACTCACGCTGAGGTGCAGTGCGAATCGGTACAATGCTGTCCGGCACCTCACAGTACACAGCACTGCTGTCACTATTGTATGAGAAAAACCGAACACCGCAGGGGGGTATTACTCCATGGATGTCGCCGACATGGGATCTCCCTCGTCCACCGGCACAACCACCTCCGTACCCGCTCCCACCGCCACTGCTGGTAACGGCTCCACCGCCCCCCTCGGCCGTTACAGCGTTCGTTACGGCCCGGGAAGACATCTGAGGACGATCATGCCGCCTCTCCGGGCACGGCTGAGGGTCATGTGGCACAACAATAAATTGTTTTGGATGCGCGTCTACGTACCTTGTATGGTGGCAGAGCTGCCGACTAAGGTCTGCGTGTGAGGCGCATGGGCGCATGGGGGTTCGCTTATGAGCCGTGTCAAGATTGGGGCGGGGTTGAATAGCAAAAAAATAGCTGAAAAGCAAGGAGGCGTTTCTCACACATTTATTCTACGTTTTCACACTTCGATGCGGAGAGATTAGACTCGAGCCATATTTGCAAGGTCGCAAGGTCCGCGCAACCCAACAGCCGAACATAACCAAGAGGCACTGCGTGGACGGAGTTGAGGGCAGCCTCCTGCGCTCGGGCCCAGGAGCCACGTGAGTGTTTCCAGCATCACAGCTGCGCCTCTTGTGATCTGACTCTCCTTCACACCCGGAAATTATTGACGCGGCGTGCAGCGCACAAATTTGTACGTATCAGCACTTCGGTATAATCAGACAGAATGTAGAGCAGAGGTTGAAGAGGCCACTCGAGTATTGGACCGTCCTTCACAGAACAGCCCCTCCAACTTGTTGACAGGGTGTTAGGAAAGCCTCGCCCCCCACGCCCCCCCCCCCACTCGCGATGCCTTATTATTTTCATCGTCACACAACACACCACCTTCCGACTTGGCGGAAAAAAATGGCGTAACCATTGATTGCTTTGCCGTTGTCCCGATGACCGAGCTTACTCTTCAGCTCGCGCTCGGTATTCCCACGGTGTGGGCGAAGTAATCAACTTGTAGAACCGCCGCGAGCCCCCGCCAGTTCTGAGCCAACTCCAGCTCCTTATTAAGATGCTGCCATAAGAATTTGCATGTATGCGCTAAAGTGGCGCGCCCTCTTGACTGCTGTTTTCCGGGTCCGCCGAATATCGCCATCATTGGAGATTCGGCACAACAAAAGCGTGTTGTTGTTGTTGTTGTTGTTGTTGTTGTTGCTTTCTTCAAGTCCAAAAACGTATACCAGTACTCTACAATTCACCCAGGGTGACGCATATAAGCGATGCGCCCAAATTTTGTAGGCCAAAAATATCCCGAGCAGGGAAAAAAAGGGATCAAATGTTGCAGCCTCCAACCCATTCCTTTAGACCCTTCGTTATGGAAACAGAATCTTGCAATTATATCTTGGCATTTTGACCCAAGATTTGCTCACAACATATCTCCGCGAAGATTTGCAGTACCGCGATTTATGGGGGAAATATCTTGAATGTTGAAAAGGGGGGTGTTGTTCCTCTCTTCTGCTTGAAGTTGAAAAAGGCACAACGGCCACTTGGTCCACAGAAAATGCCAAAGTGTGGCGAAAAGTGAGCATGACGCAGTTGTAGAAGGGGCATCCCTCCCCCAGCTGTATTGCCTCAACACTGTGGGTGGATACTAGCGATGGGCGCCTACCTGGGGTGCAAAATTGAAGCCGTTGCCCACGAGCTCATGTCAAGGGGAGAAACAAAACTGTTCCATTGCTGTCCAACTGACAAGAAAGTGCATCAACCCGAGGCCGATGACACCCATGCACGTATCTCATGATGTAGCAGGCGTACCGAGGTCAAACCTCCGGCGCTGTCATCTGCACCCACGGATTTGGCTCGGGTGCAAACGGGTCGGGTGTGGGGTGATTGGATGAAGAGATAGAAGCGTCGCACACGACAGAGCAGTGTTGGCAAAACGTTCCTCCTGCTCTATTTTTCTACTTCAAAATAAAGTACTCTTTGAACGGTCCCTCCACAGACTGGTGATGACGCACGTGGAACGAGCCAGGGCAAATACGCATTTTTTCGCGCGCCTTGGTTGTTTTCGTTCGCTGTCGGCGCCCGTGGCGCCGACACAGTGACGCCAGGGTGCGCTAGAGACCCTTGCGAGTGTGCCACGTGCAGATTTCATGGCGTTATGGACGATTAGGTTGACTGACCTTCGGTGATCGCGCCGCACTGAGGCAAGATTTGTTACGCCGCCTCAAGATTTGTCGGAAGGCTCGACTTGACAAATCTTGGGTCAAGATTTGTTCGAAAGGGCAGATTTCGGGCCTCGAGATATCTTGGCCAAGATATATCGGAAGATTTTGTTCCCATAAATCGTGAAACTGACAGATCTTGGCCAAGATCATGATTTATCGACAAGATATTGTTCCCATAAATCGGGGTCTAAGTCGAGCCTTCCGACAAATCTTGAGGCGGCGTAACAAATCTTGCCTCAGTGCGGCGCGATCACCGAAGGTCAGTCAACCTAATCGTCCATAACGCCATGAAATCTGCACGTGGCACACTCGCAAGGGTCTCTAACGCACCCTGTCGTCACTGTGTCGGCGCCACGGGTGCCGACAGCGAACGAAAACAACCAAGGCGCGCGAAAAAATGCGTATTTGCCCTGGCTCGTTCCACGTGCGTCATCACCAGTCTGTGGAGGGACCGTTCAAAGAGTACTTTATTTTGAAGTAGAAAAATAGAGCAGGAGGAACGTTTTGCCAACACTGCTCTGTCGTGTGCGACGCTTCTATCTCTTCATCAAATCACCCCACACCCGACCCGTTTGCACCCGAGCCAAATCCGTGGGTGCAGATGACAGCGCCGGAGGTTTGACCTCGGTACGCCTGCTACATCGTGAGATACGTGCATGGGTGTCATCGGCCTCGGGTTGATGCACTTTCTTGTCAGTTGGACAGCAACGGAACAGTTTTGTTTCTCCGCTTGACATGAGCTCGTGGGCAACGGCTTCAATTTTGTACCCCAGGTAGGCGCCCATCGCTAGTATCCACCCACAGTGTTGAGGCAATACAGCTGGGGGAGGGATGCCCCTTCTACAACTGCGTCATGCTCACTTTTCGCCACACCTTGGCATTTTCTGTGGACCAAGTGGCCGTTGTGTCTTTTTCAGCTTCAAGCAGAAGAGAGGAACAACACGCCGCTTTTTCAACATTCAAGATATTTCCCCCATAAATCGCGGTACTGCAAATCTTCGCGGCGATATATTGTGAGCAAATCTTGGGTCAAAATGCCAAGATATAATTGCAAGATTCTGTTTCCATAAAGAAGGGTCTTACTCCTTACTCCAGTATGTATAGCGCCGCAAAATGTCCCTTCTATCGGTAACCAGTTGATTTTCAATCAAGGCAATTCTGGTGCTTCTAAACAAAGATTCTCTGCTTTGGCAAGGGCAGGAAACAAGCTAAAACTCTCCTGACCCCAAACACACCCGATAGGTGCTAGGTTGGGGTTGATGGAAGAATATCTATGTAGGTTGTTATTGCTTGGATTGGTGCTGGGTTGGAATTTATGCGGTAAATCTAGGTTACTGGTTGGGTAGGTGCTAGGTTGGTTCCTGACGTGGGTAGGTGCTAGGTTGGTGGTGATTGCATTAGAGCTAGGTCCCTCTTGGGTGGTAAACGGTGCTCGCGCAGGTCTGTATTGGCGGACGGTGCACGGATTATGCGCGCCCCCCTGGGTGCCCCCCACTCGGTGTTTGCCATCGGGATTGGGTTTTCGTCGCTTGGCAACGACGTTGTAAAACAAGCCAATTCACTTCGTGAACTCGGCGACCAGGTTACCGTTTATTTTTTTACCTCGTTTTTTTTTTGGCGGTAACCATAATGGTGGTCGAGTAGATCATGTTGTGCGGGGTCGAGAACCCTCACTCCGCGCAACGGGGGATGATCGCACCACGTTGTGTTACATTGGTCAAGCATCCTCGAGGCAGTTACACAGTGCTTACAACTGTCTCTGGAAGTGAAAGCACCAGAAAATAAATTAAGTCATA